AAAGAGAGAGAGAGAGAGAGAGAGACAGAGAGACAGAGAGCAGCAGAAAGATCTAGGTACTCGATAGAAATTTTCCCCATAGGGTATTGAACTTGGATCTCCTAGGTTCGAGGACAAATTGCTTTACTGTTATACGGGGTGCCCATTACGAACGAGATCGGCCCGATCCAGCCGTAGTGGGCACCCCGTATTATACTACCGACGCCAGTAATTATGTTAGATTGTTCTTTGGGTTGCTTTATTAGGGGGGAGGGGGGCCCTTTTTAGTTCTCATTGTAATCTGTTTTGCTGACATTGGTAATTGTGGCTCTTTGTCTCTATCAAGGTCGATTCTTCAAAGTATCCGTTTGATCAACACCTGTGTCCTGTCGTCGTTAATCAGTGGATGGACGACAAATCGAGGGTAAAGAAACTAAGACAATATATAAAAAAAACCCCAGACAACCCTGCCAATCATCTTGACTCCATACCTGCATCTGTGGTATAGAGTATAGGTGCTTTGACGTCTCACCTGGGTGCGATTCCCTTGAGGGTACAGCTTTTCTTGCGTATTAAAAAGAACAATAACTCGGTCGTACTTCCCCCAATTTCAACAAATTATCAAACAAATTAACGAAGGTCTTCTATAAGGCCATACTTTTTTGTAATTATAAAGACGACCAATGGACGTGTCTAATTAATATCAAGTTAAAAAAATTTCAACAAAATGCTGGGCAAATTGCAAATCTTTACGTCTTAAAATCGGTGGCCTAGTGGTTAGGCTCTCGGACTCGCAACCGTAAGGTCGTGGGTTCGAATCCCGTAAAGGGCCCGACGTTGTGTCCTTGGGAAAGGCACTTTACACGAATGTTCCTCACTTCACCCAGGTGGGAATGGGTACCCGGCTATAGAGAGCGAAAGATCTTGTCAGTTTGTTAGTGTTTGAGCGCTTAATCAGCTGCTTGCACTGTATGCTTCCCGGGAAGCTGAGAATGTTTCGGAGTGTTCTATGGTCTGCTGGGGTAATAATATAGTGTAATAGAGCCTGCTGTTGAGCGGGGATATGCGCTATGCAAATGCTATTTATTATTATTATTATTATTAAAAGCATTCAGCTACCGTGGGATAATGGGCTCGTTCTGGTTTCAGGACGAGGACGGTAAAACCAGGACGGCCAGTCGCATCAGATCATATGCCACCGTGCCGAGAAAACTAATACGGGGTGCCCATTGCGGATGGGATCGGGTCGGGTCGGGTCGCGGGCGATCGCCCCACTCGTCGCCTGAAAACAAAGTTTTTGAGGCGACGAGTCGGGCGCGATCTGCTTGTGCCACGGAAGTTGCACTTTGCGCCTTCAATCTGACTAGCGAAACACCCCGATCCAACCTGATCCCCCAATGGGCACCCTGTTTTAGGAGAAATTTGGGGAGGAGAGGTTGTGATGGGGTTGAGGAGGCGTGGTTACAGTAGGGTGGACCTTGCATGGTTGCAAGAAAGGTTCGAATAATACCTTGTAAGCCGAACGTTGACAAGTGAATAGTCAGAGTATTCCCTTGATTTAAATCCTTTCAATTAGTTCATTTTTTTTCTTTTTTTTTCGAGGAGGAAAGGGGGGGGGGTATATTTTTGTTGACAACTGACATAGTCTACGGAAACAAAAATAAACAATCAAGCAGTTTAAACTCAATGTTCAACAGGACGTCTAATAAATCGACCCAGAAACATGTCATATTATTATAGACACCCAGACTTTCCAGTGGTGTATTCGAGCTAGTCAGGGGAGAAATAGCGATAACTCCTAGAGAATACACGTTAATAAAATAGCCACCACTTTTCCTGGATACATTTGGCAACGTACATTTTCTATAAATTTGTTCTTCAGGGTACAAAATTACACAGTTGGTTGGTTTTCAAGAAGTTACAAAGTTCTGTGGTTTATTCAACTTTGGTTGGAATTCTGCAAACTTTATTTTCTCCAAAAGGTACACTGATTTTCTTCATATTGACCAAAGTTACCTCGCTGGGATTGGATTATGCTTGTTCGAAGTTGTCAAAATTTGTTTGAAGATAACGAACTATTGCCCTTTAAATAATATTATGTCGTTTATTTTCAAGACATTTATTTTCAGTTACTAAACTAATATTCGGCGCCAAAACAAATCCAGACTCGGGACAAAAAAATGATGGCCTTCAGTTTATAGGGATGATAGATCTAAACAGGAAGAAGCGATTGGGGGCTGAGTTGTGACTCTCCTTTCACAAAGAATACATCAATAGAGAGAGAGAGAGAGAGAAAGAGAGAGAGAGAGAGAGAGAGAGAGAGAGAGAGAAAGAGAGGAGAGAGAGAGAGAGAGAGA